GAGTGCTTTCGGACAGGAATGTCAGCAATGTCGAGGCCTCTCCTAACTGCAAAATGGTGAAAGTTTTAAGAACAAAATTAAATGATTTTAAATAACATCCAATATGCTTTACAGAAAGAGCTTACGAGCAGAGAAAGCTGGAATGGCGTCATCATGTCGATGATTAAAATGATTTTGAAACATTCTCTCGGTCTTCTTATTAAGTGTTTGGGGAGTAGCCTTTGTGGAGTGAAGGGAATCAAGTTTATAAGCCGGTAGCATTGCTCCTCCCAAGGAGACTCTTCTACTGCTTGCGCCTCCGGTTGAATGCCTAGGACCCTTTTTGGCACTCTGGGCTTTTGCTGGGCTTGGTCTTGACCCATAGAGTGCTTCTTGCTCTGCTATTAACTGTCCCTGGAGTTTCTTCTGGTCCTGGAACACAAAGGAATCATGCCTGACTATTAGCTCAGTTTCATCAAGGAAAGTGTACATACTGTGCAAAAAGAACAGTGTATTATACCCGCAACCTACGCCGCTCTTGCTCTTTCTCGTGTCGTAAAATAGTGTATTCTTCGAGCATAGAAAGTAGACGAATCTGGATAGAGTAAAAATGGTTCAGTTAGATTCCAAAAGTGTAAGCAACTTCTCTCTGCTCTTGTCATAAAGGTTCAGGTTGTACCCATTATCAGAATACTCACGCCATCATATAAAAATTCAACCTCTGTCTCCTTCTCCCATGCCATAGTCTTTGAAACCAATGCCTCCACAATTCCTGGGTTAATATGATAAAACTTCAACACTGCGTTGACTGATTCTAATCAAAACAGGTAGAAAATGATTTATATGAACCTCAAATAATCTGAACTCGTAACAACAAGACCTGGTAAGTAATGTGAAAGCTTACATTTCTCAACCTTTTATCTAGAGTGTATTACTTACCTGGAAGTTTATTAACCAGGGAACGGGCTTTCTCAGCACGCTTGAGTGTAAGATGAGCACCTTTTCCCGCATTATATCGGTTTTCATCCTGTTGGATAACAAACAATAAAGCAACGAAACCATGCTAGAAGATCAAAATCCTATATCCCAAGAGATGAAAGAATACCCACCCTATATATTCCTCAAGCCAGCACTCCTCATCACATGCCATCAACCATTTCTCCACCCTTTCAAGTATTTCTTTCCTGCTAAAAGCTTCCTCTTTGACCTTAGCAATTTGAAGTTCAATCTGATCTAGTATGTTAGCAGCATCAACGCCCCCTACATATAAAAAGTAGGAATGATATTCAGTAGTATGAGTGGAATTGAGATAAAACCGAGTGCTTGCTGACAGTAATATAGCATATGCATTTACCAGACTCGATAGCTTCAATGGCATCTTCGATCACACTTTGTGAAACAACCAGATGCGTCTTTCTACAGATCTCGTCTAGCTCTAATCTCTTCTTCAGGACAAGCTCTTTCATTTTGCTACACTTCAACTCTTCTAACCGAGAAACTTCTGCCTCAACCTGCACCTTACTATCTTCAGATATCTATAAATCCTAGAGAACATCAGTAAACCTTGCGTTTAAAAATGCATCACTAACATATTTGATGAAATCCACAGAAAGCGTGTTTGGTTCAGTAATTTCATGCTCTGAAGCAGCTATATTACGGGTAACAGTCTGAAACATCTGTTGCTCCTCAATAGGTGTATCCATCAGATTCCATAATTCCAACATAGTAGTAGCAAGATCTTGTAGCTTCCATGGGTCAAAGAATTATATTATAGTCACTTAGAGAAAAGGAAAAAGGATTTAGCAATGCACAAAAATGCAGAAATTAACAATTTTACCCTTTGCATCCTCTGTATCTTAACTTCCTGTAACTTTTTAATCAATGTAGCCAACTGTTCAATTGTTCTGCTGCTAACACTCCTAAACCCTTCTGAGTCACTTAAACTAGGACGGACCTCAGTAACCGTGAGCTTGAAATCCATGCCCATCACCAAGCAGAGTGAGTTCAACATGCTAAGGTGGTCCTCAACCTGCTTCAGACGATCATTCTGCATAAGAAAGAAAACAGCAAGCAAAAGATAAACATTAGTTATAATGAGGTGGAATCAATAAAGAATTGAAAAATAGAAGCCTGACCTTTTCTTTCTGAAGTTCATTGAGCTGTCTGAGCAACTCTTCAAGTTTCCTCAAGGACAGGTCACTGTCATCCGCAACTGTTTCGGAACAAATTGATTTGGCTGATTCATGAATCTCATTTGTGATAATTTGTATTTGCTGTAAAACTTCTACAATTTGATTTCTTCTTTCAATCTTCCTTTTCTTCATTTCCTCCAATTGAGGAAGAATTGTGCTTAGCTCCTCCTTCAAACTTCCAGCATTTTGATCTGACTGAAAAATTGTGAACAATAAGATCAGTAGGAAGTTCAATCTAATGGAAAAAAACTTTCATCCCGGATTAGTTAACCTTCATTTCTGACCTGCCTAATATGCACTGGCCTCTCCCCCATTGCTGAACAGATGGCCGCAAGTTCAGCTTCAGAGTCGGCAATTGTCTGTCTGAGCTGAGCTCTGCAGCGATTTGCCTGATCCACCTTTCTTCTGTATACTTCCAGGCACTCCCGTTCAAGCTCAAGCAGCATTTCATCCCTGTCAGCATCTGTCTCACCGACTTCATCCCAAATTATCTAATTTTCTCAAAGGATCGTCAAAGAGTATGTATTATATTATCTTCACGTTATCATCTGGCCGATAAAGAAAATATAGGGTAACCATTGTGAACGAAGTTCAATGATACCTGAAGTTCATATAGAAGTGTTCCACACGTTGTTTCCGCTTGAAGAAGTGGATCGCTTTGCGGAGTAGACATGTTGAACAGTTCCTGCCAAAAGAAAATACTCAGAAATCAAAAGACATCCACACAAGTTGCAGTCACCAAGTAGATAAGCTAATTTGGAAATGAATGCTTGCAATACTTTAAAGTTCAAAGCTGAACTTATAATCTGTCAATATAAGCAGCATCCACATATGTAGTGTACATGACTGAATTTGCACCTATTTTTTACTAAATCGTAGATGAAATGAAAATTTAATAGGAACTACTTAGAGATAAGATATTGGGATGAAAATGACAAAGAAAATAGAAAATGAAACTAGATGACACTCGATCCCTGACCATCAGTTTACTCCATCAATTCCATCAAATTCCAATTCCATACAAATTGTTACTGTACAAAAAAAAGATCATTTGCAAGTTCCAAAGCTTATACCTAAAATCGAAGGTAAATATTAATGAAATTGCTTCAGCCAACACACAGTCGTGATTCATTCAAAAAATGCAACGTATTATTCACTAAAAATTTCAGAATCAGCTGATAAAAAATAGTTTTCCTGCATTCACTCGTCGGCCAAATATAGCAAGAAATTGAATATAAAAGAAAGCAAAGAGTAGATAAACCTTAAGCAAGAGAGATCGAAACGAAGCTTTGGATGGATTGTTTTCGTTAAGAAAAAGATTTCAATATTGGATTTGCACCAAAATGAAGAATCAAGGGAGGAACGTTGAAGAAGAGCGGTGATTATGGTTTTGTTTCTATTAAGAATTGAGTAGGAACCAAGAGGATTTGAATTTCAAATCACATGTATCTGTTTGCACCGTTTGATATCATTTCCCTTCTTTGGATCCAACGTTCTATATTTGTTGATTCTCCATTACCAGACTTTACGGGATTTTTCCTTTTGGATCATAGACTTTAGGGTAAAATACGAAAAAGCCCCCTTCACTATAGGGCACTTTTCTGTTAAGTCCCCAATTGTGAAAAGCTAGAAAATAATAACTCTCTTTTAAAAATAACAAGGCTAAACTATCAAGTTGATAAATTTTCTTTTGTATTTGTGTATTTTTACTCACATGTATATATATATAAATTTTGATCACTTATATTATTATTTTATTAAGTTTTGATTATTTACTTTATTGATCTTAGCATTTTGATATTGACTCGTTGATGGTGGTTAATTTGATGACATAACACGTTAATTAAAAGGGATTAATTTTTAAGTTAACCTTTGAACTTTAGATATAATATTATTTTGATGCTAAACTTTTGATGTAATATCAATTTGACCCTCGAACTTAACCAAGTCTCCCATTATCGGTTGTCACTCACCACCATCACCATTGTCATCATTATTATTATTATTATTATTAAATTTAATTCATTTTTCAATTCGAAAGCATTTCCCCTCAATTGGAAAAATATTCGACTAGATTTTCTCATCTTTAATCATTCATTCACTAGAAATCTCAAGCTCATGCATCCTCAAATATATTACCAGTAAAGTACTCATCGAATTCTCAGAATTCTAGTCATTGCAAAGTTCTTGGATAGCATAAAATCAACATGTTTAACCATAAGATCCTCACAGAATTCTAGTCATGTAAAATTCTTGGATAACATAAAATCAACATATTTAACTATAAGATCCTCACATCAGATATTATTTACATATAAATTTTTTGGATGTGTTTAAATGTAAACTTTTAAACATACACTCGTAAATGATTGAAGATAAAATTTATACATATATCACTGTATCCATTTGACTCATGGTAACGCATTTGACGCATTGTGTTTTATCACATAAATGAAGACATTTTCTATCAAAGGCATTTGACACGACACGACACATTTTTATTCTGTGACACAAAAAGATATACATCTTAATATGATAGGGTAACATTTTTGTTAAAAAAAACCCTAAAAAATGATTGAATTATGATTTAATTCTTTATTTTAACATTTTAATTATTAAATGGTTTCTATAATTTAATTATTATTTTCAACTATTTAATAACAAATATTACGTTATGGTAATTGCAGTAATTAAAAATATCTTATTCAACAAGTTAATTACAAATTAAAGTTGATCAGATATGCATGTGAGCACTAGAAACTAGTGTATAAATATATATATGCAAATGAAAATCATAAAATTTGTAAAATGAAAAGGCCTATTTGCAAATCAACAAGTAATCTGTGGTGTTCAAATGGCCTACACACGAGAGGCTTCTCAAGGAAAGACCCCATGTGGATGCTGTGCTGTACTATCTCTGCCTTTGGAACCGCCATCACATTGATTCAAGGGTGCATTTTTGTCCAGAAATTGTGCACGCCCACATCCCCCTTGGTTAGCTACAGGAAGAATCTCCATCAGTATCATAGAGAAATCAACGATCAATGCACCTGCAATTTGATTGTAATTTTAGAAAGAGTTTTAGCATTTTCACTTCATGACGCTCGGGAATCAGTAGCTTTTCGGATCCTTTCCATGACTAGAGGAATATCCTCCTCATCCAAGGTTGTGAAACAGCACCGGAACCATCCCGGTTCTATGCAGTGGCATGCTGAACCAGGAGTCACATTGATCTTAGCCACATTTAATAACTTATCCCATAGCTCAAGTTCCCCTTTCTCACCATAAGAGGGGATTAATTTGCTCATATTAGCCCAACAATACAAGCCAGCACTGCTATCTGCACATCTAATGCCTAATCCTTCCAGACCAGACACAAATAAATCACGCATATTCCTTATCCTCTTTTTATTGGTCTCCATATATTCCTTGATGAATCTTGCGTCTGACAGCATTGAAACTAGCAGTTTTTGGGTTGGAGCCGAAATAGAAGAAAACCTAGTTAACTTTCTAGCAGCAACCAATACATTATCATTAAGAGAATATATCACTCCGACCAGAAATCCTGGAAGAGAGAGGTCCTTCGATAGCCCATAAACAATATGAACCCTGCTTTTATCGAAATCCTCTGAATCAAGAACATCGGCAATGCTGACAAACTCTTCATTCCCGTAAATAGACCCTGCGAATATTTCATCTGATATGATATGGATATTCTTTTCTCGAGCAAAGTCCAATAGATCACAAAGAATCTCCCGAGAAAGTAGGTTGCCAACAGGATTTGCAGGGTTTGAAAGGAGAATTCCCCGAATCTTTGTTCCACGCTTCCTTGTCTGGTTGAATGCTTGATCAAGCACACTGATACTTAATGTGAAATTGTCAGTGCTCCGACAATGGACAGGTATTAGTTCCACTCCTGTTCGCCATTTCATGTCCCTGTCAAAACTGAAGACATATTTTTCCTAGTTAAACCAATGGGACCATTGTGTATCTATAACAATACAAACTCTTGGAATGAAGGTCAAAGAGTTACCCAGGATAGTAAGGTGTGGGAACAAGAAATGCATTCCCATGATCTGCCAAGCAGAAACATAATGTCTCAATTGCGGGAGTTGCACCAGCAGTTAAAACCATCTGCGACGGTTCAAATGAGACAGCTCCTCCTATAACATGTGACATAAAACCTGCCATCGCCTGTCAGAATAATAGAAAAAAAGAACCAGGAATAAATACAAAAAGAAACGAACCAGAGAGTCTTGAAGGCATTTGCATTCCAACTATGATTGGTGATGACAGTGATAGCAAAAAAGGTATACACTAATAAACCATACAGCTTCTTTCGTAGCTCCACATCTCTTCTAACCCAAACCATCGATATGATCGTATGTACAGAAAAAGTGATAAAGTTACCTCGACATTCTGTGCCGAGTGTTAATATAAATGCAAATCTTAAGTTTGGATCCATGTACCTCACAGTTAAAAAGAAACTAGTCAGACGCATTTTGATGACATTAAACGGTTTAAAGCCAAGCAAAGAAAATCTTATTATCACAAGCTCACAACATCCCTGATTCTAAGCTCTTAAACCAATTAAGTTCATTCACTTTTCATGAGCATCCTTATATGATATATTTCAAATGCAAACTGACAACAGATAATTCAGCATCAGGTATCAAATTCACACCAAAAAGCAACAGAAACTTACACTCCATTTAGTTATTCAATAAAAACAAAAGAGGAAGAATTATAGAGATTACCATTTTGAGTTCCATTGTTCCATCCAAAGGCTGGTAAGAGGCAATCCCGCTAATGCTCAAATCATCCCCATCTCTTCCCCTTATCGAATCGGTCAAGTTTTCCAACATCCATTTCTCAATTAAATCAAAACACAACTGTAAACGAAGTTTTTAAAAGAAACAACAAAAAGTCAAATATACGAATAGGCCACGCAAAAGAACCGTGTTTAAAAAGCAAATACTGACCCTATTCTCCGACAAGCCGAGTTGGATAACCCCATCTGGATTACCAAATCTGTCGTACGGATCCTCCGACACCTTATCCAACCCGATGTAATACGGCGAGTCGTTGGGTTTAGAAATGGAAGTGGCCAAGGAAGATATCCGAGCCGGTCCGATGGAGCCGCGTGAGAGCAAATTGGAGCGTGAAGAAGTTCGGTTCATCTCCGCCAGGTTCTGCAAGGAAGCGGAGGGTGAAGGAGGGTTGCGAGGAGAGCGGTGTCGTTTGAGGTAGAGTTGGAGGAAGTAAAAGAGAGCGCATGGGATAAGAGAGCCAAAGATTAAGCCTCCTCTTCCTTGGACCACGCCCTGGAGAGGTACTACGAGGCGCATGGCGTTGGCTGCTCCGGTGGGGCTTCGGGTATTGAATGGAGAGGGTCAGGGTCATGACCCACCCGGGACGACAAGGTCTGTAGGAAGTGATGGGAAGATTTAGGTTTGGTGGTTTAGACTTCAGAGACGGAGGGAACAAATAGATATGATTTGTACTTCCGTCTTAAGTTCTAATCTATTATTCGTTTGGGTAAACTATTCCAAAAGTCACTTACTTGTGTCTTCGATGACAAATATATCGCTTCATTTTCCCAAAAGTTACAGATAGGTCAGTCAATTAAAATATTTTTATTAATCATTTATTCGTAAAACATGATAATATTTAGGGGTGTTTGGTTCAAGGATTGGGGTGAATCTCATTCCCGGGTTTATTCAATAGTAGATTGGGTATATTATCGGGAATGTCATTACCTCCATTCCTTATGTATTGTAACATTACCGGCGTTTTGGACTAAAATGCCCTTAAATTATTATTTTTTTTTCAAAAATATCCTTCTTATGTTATTGAATAATAAAAATTCTACGAAGGTTAAATTACAAATTTATCCTTAAATTATTTTAGATTTACAAAAAAAATCTATAATTAAAATTTTATATGAAGTTCAGGGGTTAAATTTTTTTACCCTTTCATTAAACCTTTTTTATATTTTTAATTTTGTAAAAAAAATTATATAAATATTATAAATTTAATTTTTTAAAGAAAATATATAAATATTTTACAATTTGTAATATTCTACAAATATATAATAAGGACAATTTGGTCAAATATACATTCTAATAATCTTTTATTTCTTTAACCAAACACGGTAATCTTACATTCCTGCTAAACCAACCAAACACAAAATACAACATTCCCAGTAATCCTATTCCCTGGTAATCTTTTATTCCCACTGATAATCTTACATTCCGTGAACCAAAAGCACCCTTAGAGTAAACTATACTGAGTGGTGGCACCATATTGAAAGGAAAACAAATTAAACAACATTGTGCTGGAGGAGGGTGGAGGATCCAACTTGGCCTACTTGAATGGAGACAACAACCTCAACCACGACTCCAAAGCTAATTTCTAGTATAATATTTACATCAATTAATATTTATCTTATAATATAATGAAGGCCGGAACAAAAAAAAAATAGAATCTACACTAAACGATTTGATTTGAATAAATTAATATTTAAAATATATGTTATATTTAACCCGCTCTACCCAAAAAATATATGTTTATATTCGATCCACCCTGATTTGAATGAATTAATATTTTAAAATAGTTAAATAATATACTTATAATTATTATATATGTTAAATGGTTAAAATAATATATTTTACCTTTAACTCGATCCGGTTTGAATATATTTATATCTATATTTGAGGGTCGGGTTTAAGTAAAAATATTATTGTTACTATTTTAATTATAATAATAATTATAAATGTATCATTTTAACTATTTTAAAGTATTAATATATTCAAATCAGACCGGGGTTGGATTAAGTTAAGAAATTATCGACCTGATCCAAACTGGTATAAATTATTAGTTTACCTTTTTATGTATTCAAATTGGATCGAGTTTAAGGTGAAAATATATTATTTAACCATTTAAATATAATAACAATATAAGTATGTTATTTTAACTATTTTAAAGTATTAATTTATTCGAATCAATCGAGACATGTTGAGTATAACCAATATATTTTCTGGGTGGAGTAGGTTGAATATAAACAATATAATTTAAAATATTAATTTATTTGAATCAAGTCGTTTAAGTGTTGCATCTATTTTCATTGTTATGGCCTTTATTATATTATAAGATAAATATAAGTTGATGTAAGTGATACACGAGAAGTTAGCTTGGAGCAATGGTTGAAATTGTCACCTCCATTCAAGGAGGCCCAAGTTTGATCCCCCCACCCCTCTAGCACAATGTTGTTTCAATTTGTTTTCCTTCCATCGGATGGTGTCACATGTCACCATCTGATGGAGGAAAAATATTTAAATTAAATATAAATAAATTAATAAAAATCTTCCAATGATATCATGACACGTGTCATCATATAATTAGAGGATTAAATATATTGAATTAATTTAAATTTGACCAATTTGATAGATAGATAGATAGATAGATAGATAGATAGATAGATAGATAGATAGATAGATAGATAGATAGTAGATAGATAGATAGATAGATAGATAGATAGATAGATAGATAGATAGATAGATAGATAGATAGATAGATAGATAGATAGATAGATCGATAGATAGATAGATAGATAGATAGATAGATAGATAGATAGATAGATAGATAGATAGATAGATAGATAGATAGATAGATAGATAGATAGATAGATAGATAGATAGATAGATAGATAGATAGATATAGATAGATAGATAGATAGATAGATAGATAGATAGATAGATAGATAGATAGATAGATAGATAGATAGATAGATAGATAGATAGATAGATAGATAGATAGATAGATAGATAGATAGATAGATAGATAGATAGATAGATAGATAGATAGATAGATAGATAGATAGATAGATAGATAGATAGATAGATAGATAGATAGATAGATAGATAGTAGATAGATAGATAGATAGATAGATAGATAGATAGATAGATAGATAGATAGATAGATAGATA